TTTTTAGAGTGTAATGAAAGTGTTCTAGAATTAGAAAGTAGGTAAGTTGATTGATTTGTGGATATTGAACCATTCTTGCATTCTGGTAGTAATTCCACTTGGATCTTGGTGAGTGATTATTTTAATGTATTGCTGAATTTGGTTTGCTAATATTTTATTGATAATTTTTGCATCTGTATTCATCAGTGATACTGGCCTTTTTCTTTTCTTTTGTAATGTCTTTGTGTGTTTTATGCTGGCCTCATAGAATGAATTTGGATTGTGTTAGTATTGATTATTTTGTTTATGTTTGTTTATAGTTGCTTTATGTATTTGGGTTCTTTCATTTTGGGTGCATAAATATTTGCAATTCTTGTGTCTTCTTGTTGGATAGTGTCATTTTTTTTAAGTTTATTTATTTATTTTGAGAGAGAGAGAAAGAGAACGCGATCAAGCACGAGTTGGGTAGGGGCAGACAAAGAGGGAGAGAGAGAATCCCAAGCAGGTTCCACACTGTCGTTGCAGTGCCTGACATAGGGCTCGAACCCACAAACCACAGGGTCATGACCTGAGCCGAAATCAAGTCAGACACTTAACCAACTGAGCCACCCAGTGGCCCCTACAGTCTTTGTTTTAAAGTGTATTTTGTCCAATTTAACTGTTGCTACCCCAGCTTTCTTTTCTCTTCCATTTGTATGAGAAATGTTTTTCCATCCCCACACTTCTAATCTGCATGTGTTTTGGGGTCTAAAAGGAATCTCCTCTGGCTACATATAGATGGGTCTTGGTTTTTCATCCCTTCTGTCACCCTTTGTCTTTTTATTAGAGTGTGATTCCATTCACAATAAAGTAATTATTGATAGGTATATTCTTTTTTATTATTTATTTTTTTTAATACATCCAAGTTAGTTAGCATATAGTGATTTCAGGAGTAGATTCCTTAATGCTCCTTACCCATTTAGCCCATCCCCCCTCCCACTACACCTCCAGCAACCCTCTATTTGTTCTCTAAGAGTCTCTTCTGTTTTGTCCCCCTCACTGTTTTTATATTATTTTTGCTTTCCTTCCCTTGTGTTCATCTGTTTTGTGTCTTAAAGTGCTCATATGAGTGAAATCGTATGATATTTGTCTTTCTCTAACTAATTTTGCTTAGTATAACACCCTCTGGTTCCATCCACGTAGTTGCAAATGGCAAGATTTCATTCTTTTTGATTGCCGAGTAACACTCTACCACATCTTCTTTATCCATTCATCCACCAATGGACATTTGGGCTCTTTCCATACTTTGGCTATTGTCGATAGTGCTGCTATAAACATGGGGGTGCCTGTGTCCCTTCGAAACAGCATACCTGTATCTCTTGGATAAATACCTAGTAGTGCAATTGCTGGGTCGTAGGTAGTTCTATTTTTAATTATTTTTAATTTTCTATTTTAAAACCTCCATACTGTTTTCCAGAGTGGTTGCACCAGTTTGCATTCCCACCAGCAGTGCCAAAGAGATCCTATCTCTCCACATCCTCACCAACATCTGTTGTTGCCTGAGTTGTTAATGTGAGCCATTCTGACAGGTGGAAGGTTGTATCTCAGTGTGATTTTCATTTGTCTTTCCCTGATGATGAGTGACGTTGGGCATTTTTTCATGTTGGTTGGCCATTTGGATGTCTTCTTTGGAGAAGTGTCAATTCATGTATGACATTACTTTAAGTTCTCTATCAAGCATATTATCTCCCTTTCCTTTAGGTGTCTTTCTATGATTTCATCCTGTTCTTTCATTTGGGATGGATTCCTCTATGTCCTTATTTTGTCTAACTCTCTGTGTCTGTTTTTGTGTATTAGGAAAGTTGGCTATGTCTCCCGCTCTTGAAACTAGTGTCCTTATGAGGAAGAGGCCCTGGCATGTCCTTCCAAGGTGTCTCCCACGTGTGTTGTGTGTGTCCTTTTGTGGCCGAGATCCCTTTGCCTTCAGGCCAGTCGTCTGCAGAGGCTGTCTTTGCCTGTTGTGGGCTGGATGTGGTCCTGTGTTCTTAGTGAGCCAGTCTGGGGCACCTTTGGCTAGAGTTTGGTCGGACCGGTTGTTTCCCAGAGCTGCAGTAGTGCCGAAGTACAGGGCACTGGGCCAGCCTTGTCCCCCCAGGTTTCATCGGAGGTGGGCCTGCAGTCAGCCCAGGTGTCTGCCCCCAGCCCACTGCCAGGGCTGCAGTCGAAGCTGAAGGTGTGTTCGGTTATCTTTTCTTCTCCCCAGGGCAGCAGTCACTTGGAAGTGTCGCTGGCCCTTGTCAGCGCTGCCGTTGCGGTGTCCCGCTTGTGACGGTGCGGCAGACGGACTCAGGCTGAGGGCCGGTTGGCTGGAGCACGGCCGCCAGTGAGCTCAGCACAGGAGGTGCGCTGTTAGCCAGCTAGGTGGGGGTGTTCTCACTCATCCCCACTGTGGGAGCGTCTGTGTGCATGCAGAGGAGAGAAGGGGTGCCCACCAGATCTTTCATTCTTGGAAAAGTTTCCTGAACACTCCTGCCCGTCCTGCACATGTTCACAGATTAGCACTCTCCACACTCCTTACGGAAGTGCCGAGTTGAACAATCAAGACTTCCACATCAGTGGAGTGTAGTAACCTGACTGACACACAGGGTAGCTAACTACCCTGACACTAATATTGCTAACTCTCTCTGTTACGTGTTGCTACATAGCAAATTGCCATAAAACTGAGTGGTATAAATGACCAGAATATATAGCGTCTCAGTCTCTGCAGCTCAGGAGTCTTCGTGTGACTTAGCGAGTACTCGGGTCTCCTGCACCTCCACAACCAGGAGGGCTGGAGGGCTGTGGTCCTCACAGCTGCCAAGGGCATCAGCAGCCTGGCTGTTGGCAGGCCTCTGGGCCCTACTGATGGGGGACTGATCATATGTCCATGGATGTCTCCATAAGCAGGCTCACAGCCTAGCAACTTTTTCACCTAGAGCGAGCACGGGAGAGAGAGAGAGAGCACAGAAGCTACAGTATGTTGTAATGTAATCTCAAAAGTGGCATCCCATCCCTTTTGCTGTATTCTTCCATCAGAATCCAGTCACTGGAACCAGTTCATCCTCCCGCTGAGGGGGTTTCACCAAGGCATGTGTGCCAGCTGGCGGGGATCGTTGGGGGTGTCTGCAGTAACATACCATTTAGGTAATAAGCCAGGAAAAGAAGCTATCTTTCTACAGTAAGAAATCAGAATACTGAAGAGTGTGAAAGCCTGGTGTATCAATTACTTATTGCTACCTAGTAAATGATCCCTAAACTTAATGGCTGAAAACAAGAAGAATCGACGTATTTAGCTCATGAATGTAGAGTTTTGGCAGGATCTGGTGGGATTTGGCTTATCTCTGGTCCGTGTGACACCAGCTGCATCTGCTCAGCCTGGACCCAGAGGATCTTCTTGCAAGATGTCCATTCACAGGCTGGCATGTTGTTGCTGATGAGTGGCTGGGAACTCCGCAGGACGATGGATGGAGACACTGTTACTCCTCGTAGGGGCATGTCTCCGTGGGCCTCTCCGTTCGGGCCGCTTCACTCCCTTACGGCGTCGTATCTTGGTTCTGAGATGGTATGCCCCACGACACAGACGATGAAAGGTGCTCATCGTGAGGCCTGGACCTGGAAACCATGACACGGCATCACTTGTGCCTCATCCTGCCTGCCAGCTTGCCGCTGAGCTCATCCTCACATTGGGGGACACTGACCTCACTGTCGACGGGAAGGTACCGAAATCTGCATCAGTTGTCTTGCCATATGACAAATTCCACCAAAATCTACTGGGTTAAACATTATTTTAAAAATTCATTTATTTTCAGCTTAAAAACCTGAAATTTGGGTGGGGCTTGGTGAAGAAAGCTTGTCTGTTCCACACAGCTCCGTCACAGGTCTGGCAAGTCTGTGCCGGCTGGAAGCAGGAAACCTCAGCCCGTCGCCACATGGGCCTCTCCAAAACTTGGGCTTCACCAATGGTGGATGGCTTCCAAGCTGAAAAGTCTGAAAAGACAGAAAATACAAGCAATCGATTTCTTGAGTCCTGGTCCCGAAACTGTACATGAAACTGCTGCTGTGGTCACAGGACCCCCGTTTGAGGAGAGGAGCGCCCAGGTCAGGCCTCAGTGGGAGACGTGTCGAAGGACTTGGAATCATGTTAAACTCCCCACACCTTCAAAGCACAGTTCCGGCACTTCTCTGGCACATTCCTGAGAAGGCTCATTTTACACATGGAAGGTAACGGAACCACATGTTTCCGAAGGTCGTCCTGCACCCTGAATTCCCATCGTCATGTTTGTGTTCCATGCATTGTTGATACATTCTACAGTGTTTTTTCTCAACTACACAATCAGTGTTCTGGGGTGTGACATCGATGTTCTCTCCTTATCGCTCAAGTTCAGAAGTTTGAGTGATGTTTTTATCATGTTTGCAAAGTCCAGCAAACCCTCACAGAAGAGGTGTGATAAGACGAACATGAACTAACTTATATTGTGCAGGAAAGAAGTGTACACAGTGGAGAATGAGGTCAGATGTTAAACGGAAAACTGATGTAGAATGGTTTTATTTACTTATTTTAGAGCACTTTTTAAATGTCTTCTCTTCTGAGTGTGGTTTTGGGATGGAAGTTCTATTATATTTTGTTATGTTTATAGTTTAAGGAATGTCTGTAGGAGCCAAGACTTGTTAAACATTTTTGACCACTGATAAAATGAACTTGTCTGATTTGATGTGACTTCTTTCTGGACTAAGTATTGTCGTGGGACAACTGGCTTGCTGCTCTGTATCTGCCTGTTGATGCTTTTATTCTTTCAAGAATTTTTACTTTAAAGAATCTCTTTTGAGAGAAACAAATGAATCCATTCTGTGTCATTCATTTTTACTGTGATAAGAGAAAAAAAGACATATTGCAAGAAAATAAATTCATGACACACATAATGTGGATTATGCCAAAACATTTCCCCCCACACCGCTGTTGAAAGGTCTTGTATATGTAACACTGGAGCCTTTTTCTGTTTCAGTGTCCTGTGGCATGGCAGAGCAGGTGGGAAGGCCCAGAAGACCCCTTACAGTACCTGAGAGGCCTCGTGGCTCGTGCCCTTGCGATACAGGTAAGGGTCCATTGGTCAGTGACCCCGGTGTCTGACGCGGTGTTACAGACATGGGTATGGAGATCACATGTGTGCGGCAGCTGGTGAGAGTGATTTTGTACGCGAAGCACCGCACATTCATTTCTCATTCCGTCGTCAGGGTTTATGTAGCATTCTTTAAAAATAACGAGTAATGAGGGAACCATGAGTTCTTATCAACAGGGATCTCTAATTTGGGGGGAAGGAGATAGATTAAAAAAAAAACAAATAAATAGATTACTATTAGAATTCATGAAAAAAAAAATCTTGGCCCAAACCCTGAGATTTAAGATGAATATACAGCTAAACCTTAAACCGTTGTCATGATCCTAGAATGAACGTAGGGTACATAACTGAAATACTACCCAGTAAAATAGAGCTATTACTATAGCGATAGCATCACGGGATTTTAGGAGTTAAATTTTGTACAGGGACCGTAGCGTCTCAACACTTTCAGCTCATAACTTCTGCCTGCGCTCAGCTGGCTTGCACATCTGGAGTAGTAAGTGGCAGTCTGTGGTCTGTGATGATCTGCAGTTTTAGGGAAGCAGTCCTATCCACTGTGCTATTTGTGCACAAGATAAGCCTTGGTTCTAGAAATGTGACAATACAGCAGCCTAATTGGCTTTCAGGACAACAAAGTCTTCCCTGAATTTTTGTCTGCATCTCGCTCTTACCACATGCATACCAATCTCAGCAGCTCGCTGGACTGGCATAATGAGCAGATGTTGACAGCAGCAAACAGGCAGAGGATGTTTAAATGGCAAGCGTGGTCGTGGCAAACTGTCCCCCTGCAAGTACCCAGTGACTGCTGGTAAGGTCAGTAACCTGGGCACCTGTACCAGTCAGGACTTCTCTGGGCGTCTCAAGTCTTGGGTCATATCTGCCAGAGCCCAGGTTATTAGTTGCATAGCAAGACAACTCCAGAGTGTGATCCGCGTCCTGTAGCTCTGTGACCTGCCATGGAATGGCAGTGCGCTGACCCGACGTGTTGGGGTCTCGGTGGTTTCTTCCCTCCCACCTGGTCATTGTCACAACCCCTCCCGACTTTGCACGCATGCTCCAGTTGGCCATCTTCCCGGGAGGGCCCACGTGGAACGGGGTGGGACGCCGCAATGCAAATGATGGAGCCACCTGCGGGTGGGTTTCCTTGAGTGCCCTGCTCACATTGCCGTCTGTCCTTGTGGCCCAGTCTTCTGGGTCAGCCAGGGCTGTGTGGCCGGAGGGGGCGTGGCCGGCAGGTGCCCGGGGGGGGGGGGGGGGGGGGGGGGGGGGGGTGCTGCTGCAGTTGGAGGCTGTCCCATCTGACAACGCAGGACAACACCCCAGGGGGGCTGGGAGCAAAACTCCAGACGTTGGCTCCTGACCCCATGACAGCTTTCCCTGTATTTGTCAGTGGTGGTGACCTGACGACAGGATCCTGGCTGTGCCTCTTGCCTGGGTCACTGTGCTCTGCTGTGCTCAGTTCTTCACAGCTGCAGACTCCGGGGCAGGTGAGGGAAGTGGGCATCCGCGCTGGTGTGAGTGCACCTGCCCCCCCTTGAAGGACGCTGGGTTGTGCACGCCCACCAGATTGGGGTTGCACACGACACATGCCCACCAGATCAGGGTTGCACACAACACCCGCCCTCCAGGTCGGGGTTGCGCACGACACTCGCCCGCCAGATTGGGGCTGCACATGACAAGCGCCCGCCTGAGTGGGATTGCGCACAACACACACCCCCCTGATGTGGTTTCGCCCATGAGCCTGTCATATTGGGGTGGCACATGACGCACTCCCACTTAATTGTTGCACACGCCACACGCCCATCTAATTGTGGTTGGACACTGGGGGCGTGGACTGTGCAGTGGTACTACCACTAACACTACTCCTGTGTGCACAGTGCACACAGTTCAGGAAAGCGTTCTCAGTAATACAGTGTCTAGGAAGAACCTGGACGTAACATCCACTCCTTAAGTAAATCTGCAAACTCCTTTTGTACTCCTGTCCTGGAAACGCTACTTGAATGACGTGTGAAGCTTTTTTTTTTTTTAACCTTCCTGGATTTTTAAAACCTCAGTTGAAAATTTTCCCAAATAAGTATTCTTTTAATGTCCGTTCTGTGAAATCTTACTAAGTGAGAAAATATTTGGTGGGTCTCATTTCTTCTTTTTCTTTTTTGTTTTTGTGTTTCAATTGAAGATGACTTCTGTTAGATATTCTGGTAACAATAGGAGACGTTTTCCTCCTCGGGAAACTTTAAGGCAGCACAGCTGAGGGCCATTGTTCTGTCTCCTCTCAGATGGGACGTAGCCCCAGCTAGGACCTCCTCTTGAAGGACTCGTGCTTAAAGACAACTCGCTCACCTAGAATTCACTTTTTTTCTTCAGTGTTTTATTTAATGTTGCAGGTGCAAATATGTCAAACAATTTTACAAAGATTTGGATTTCACCATAGCCAAACAGGTATACCATACTTTGTTATTACATTTTTATTAATATTTTTTTCCTAAAATGCTTCCAACATTATTCCTGTGCTTATCTAGCTGTTGCATTCTCTCTTTAGATTTCTATTATCATCCTGTTTCTCCCCTTACTGAAATACAGAGTTCTTAATCTCTTCCCATAACATGAATAGTTTCACAGTCGTTATTTTTAAAATTTTATTCTTGCAACAAGTACATATTTATACTTGAGACCAAGAATTTCAACCTATAGAGCAGATAAGAGGTTATTTTCACTCCAAGTGTCATATAAAAAGCCTGATCCATATACAATGGTAAATAAAGTAAAGTAGATCTAAATGTCATGGCTGGTTGGCATTAATAACATCACACTTACTAGATTAGTAACATCTGTGCTTTACAAACACGAGTGTTCATTTCTGGGATGTCAGGAATTGTTTACAGTCGGCATCTACTTACTCGGATTACCAGAGAGTGAAGGCAAGTAATAGATCTTAGCCAAATATTAAAGTGGAACTGATCCGTATTTCCAATTAATATTAGGATGCTCTGAAGAAGATTGGTGTCAGTTAAGGGAGCTGGAAGGTGAGTGGGTCGGAGAGGGTGGAGCCAGTGTGCTCAGGTGAGGCCTCTCTTAGGAGGGGACGTGTGAACAGAGGCTTGAGCTGAGTGAGAAGGCAAACCGTGGGTGTGCCAGAGAGAAAAGTCTAGGCGGACGAGCCAGCACGTGCAGAATCTGGGACAGGAATGGGCTTTGCTTACCTAAGGAATAAAAGGCCCAGTCCACGTGGCTGGAGCGTGTCAATGAGGTGTTGAGACTAGGCCTGAGGGGCACCTGCACGGAGGGCTGCTGGGTTCCGCCAGCAGGTGCACACGGTCTTCGACATATCTTCTTTAAGTTTCGTTATTTGTAGTGCATGCATCAGACGTGCTTGATTTAGTTGTTCATGGAGTCCCCCAGATGCCACTTAGTTATCAAAAGAGAACTGTTTTATCCAGTTTTTCCCTAAAGTAATCCATTTGAAGAATACAATTGCCTTAATTTCAACCACATAATCAGTGAGTCGAGCACTATTGATAAACCAAGTCACACTGAATTTTATGTTTATCAAATATTCCTCACATACATAAATTATGATTAGAAATTATAGTTGTTATCACATATGACTAGAATATTTGTAATTAAAAATAATCTTAACAGGCATGATTATGGTAAAAAAATAAATTTTCTGATTTTTGAACTTTCATTTAAAAACAGTATTTTTAAGTTTCATCTAAAAACAATTTGAAGCCATAATTTTACTCACTGAATTCTATTTTTGTCTTGAACTCTAAGATTTTCTTATATAAGACATGGCAGTTTATAAGCTCAGTTTTTTCCTAAATAAGAAAATAAGCTATCAAGTATCATTTTTATAAACATACATATATTCAAAGCCACCAACTAAAAGACAAAAATTATCAGATTGGAGAAAATAAAATTGAAATATGACTGCTATAAGGCATCAAGGCATTGCCCTTTAAATATAAAGACACAAATAGATTAAAAGTAAAATGATAGAAAAACTATGCCATGATCACATTAGTCAAAAAACCCCAAAACAGCAACAAAAACATTTAGCTGTCTTAATATCAGGCAAAACAGGTTTCACAGAAAAGAATATAACAGGAGATAATGAAGATTATTTTATAATGATAAGGTGATCAAATTATGAAAATAACAATGCTAAACATTCCATTTCTAATAGTTTCAAAATACATGCAGCAAGAACTGATAGAAATGCAAGGAGAAATAGGTAAATCCATCATTAAAGTTGGAGATGGCAGAACATTGCTCTCAGTAATTGAATAAGAGGCAGAAAATCAGTAAAGTTATCTAAGAGTTGAACAGCATTTAATTAACTTAATAAAAATGGAACATTACATCCAACATCAACAGAATATACAGTCTTTTCTAATGCAGAACATTTACCAAGGTAGATCATAGATCAGGTGTCCAGGATTCTAAATGGATTTAAGCCACACAGATATGCTTTCTGCTCACCTGGTGATTTGACAAATTTATGCATTATGCACAGTGTGGCTGCCATCTGACCCACGTTCTTGTTACAGTATCCTGAACTGTATTCTCTAGGCTTTGCCTTTATTCCTGTGACTTACTCATTGCATAAGTGGAATCCTGTACCTCCCTCTCCCCCTCTCCCAACTTGCCCATCCCTAACATCCCTGGAAGCTGTCAGTTCTACGTATTTGTAGGTCTGATTCTGCTTTTGTTGGTTTATTCATGTGTTTGTTTTCTTTATGTTTAACTTATGAGCAGAATCATATGGTATTTGTGTTTTTCGGTCTGACTTATTTCACTTAGCATGATACCCTCTAGGTCCATCCATGTTGTTGCAAATGGCAAAATCTCATCCTTTTTATGGCTGAGTAATATTCCCCTCTGTGTGTGTGTGTGTGTGTGTGTGTGTGTGTGTGTGTGTGTGTGTCTGCGCGCGCGCGCGTGTTCATGCATGCACACGCATACATCTTCTTTAT